AAAGTAATGGTCTGGAAAATTGTATGACTGCTTATAGAATAGTGGATACATGAAAGTAGGGCGATAAGATCACAAACCAAAAACTGCATGATGTGGCTTTCGCAGGAAAAATGTTCTTCCACAGATTGAACGGCACACCCGCAAAGTTCACAAAAGTTGCCCTTTTCTGAAAATGATTGTGAAAATTTGTGTGGAGAAGACATGATCTGCAAATAGGAACTCACGAAATGCCACTAGGAACTCAATTCCGCACATTGGTCCATAATGTATGTCATTAACTACCTTCCATTTGAATGGTCGCGTTGGTGTCACCGTATCGTAACCAGATTCAAACGTGACTTCAACTGCAAATCAAGATCATTTAGGAAATTCGAAAAATTGGGAGTAGGTTGTTCTATACAAACAACGCAGGGCAGATCAAAGTGAACGGCAGCGCACCCTCTCGTAATATCTATTCACTCGAAACTTCTTCTGAAATAAGATGCGTTGCACCCGTTTTTCCATCTCGAGCCTTAACACAGTAACTCAACACAAGATGGGGGTGGGGTGAAATGAGCAAATATTACGAGTAACAGTATCCGTATCTTAGGGCGTGTTCACGTTCTGCAGCTGTCCTGCACTTCGTTTGCAGTTCTAGTGTAGAGTAGACGTTTATCGATCATGCGATCGCAAGACCCTACAACCACGATGATACGTATCTAGTCCACACCCAACTGCAAGACAGTCACAAAGTATGACCACATGCTTGCTGCGCGACCTTTTCCCGACATATTTAAGCAATAAGTACAGAAGTAGAAGAAACTAACACTGCTCTAGCAGCATCTTAACAGCCACTGCTTGGCGATGGCTCGGTGAAAGCTCATGCACGTCCCAAATTCGGCTCAAAAGGTCATTATTGCAAGCAATAAGCTGTCGACATACCTAAAAATCAAAAATATATAAATAACACAGAGCTACAACGAAGCCAAATCAATTTTTACGGAAGAAATTGTAACGGGAAAATCGAGGCCAACAAGACTGATTCCGAAAGACGTCGGAAAGCTTACCAAACACTGCAAGATTTTGCGTGGTTCCTTCGACCTCGACGTACAATCCGTATGCAGTATGTAAGACGGTCTACAACGGTTGGAATCTACAGCGAGTTTTGTCATCGCAGCCACTTTCGTAATACTCGCATCCATCACTATACACTCTGGAGGCGTATATTCCCCACCTTAAATAAAATTTCTTGGTCCACATACCTACATCTATGATCATTCCTATTTAATGAATTCAAAATGTTAAACCTTCTTCTTCAAAAACCTCGTCGCAAACGCGCTTTACATCTTCATAGACCTTGAGCGGATCGCCATCCATTTTCAAATGCAACATCTTATTGGAATGAAATTCATCCTAAAAAGTGGTGATACTCAATGATAATTAAAGCGAAGCCGAAACCGAAAGGCCCTACCAAGTAAGTGGTAATATGGGACATCGAGCCGAGATGCATGTCTGCCTGTTCCATGAGAGCTCCAGATTCGTAACAAATCGAGCACGCCCACCATGGCTCGGAAGTAAATGAGAAGTGCAGCTCGTGTAAACATTCCAGGCCTTAAAATGATTGGAACTTGGACGTGCTCCTCGAGATGGCCACAACTAGCTTATGTGTTTCATTCATGTACAAAGTAGACGACGATAACCCGCACCAACGTATCGCTCTCCGCAAGCTGTGTATCGCTTCACAAGTACAGACGACCCACTGAACGGTTGAAATGAGGGCACTTCTTTGGCGAAAAAATCGTATATAAGCAGTTTCTGGAAAGAAACTCGATTAAATAGGCAACACTTGACTGACGCAAACTTTCAACACGCTGCAAACCTTCTTGTGTTTCACTTGTTGTTCATGTTTGTCTTTGTCCTTGCGCGTTTTGCACAGATCTTGACATATCTATAAAACAATGCTGATTTTGAAGTGTAGCTACCATCAATAAGAACGTTAGGCTGCGGTCATATGTACTTTGTGAGTGCCATGCATCGGAGTGTGGAGTCAGTGAGTGCCATGCAGTTAGTGTTGCAGAGGAGAACATACCTGGTCGCGTTCGTGCCGACCGATTACCAATAATATGACTCGATATCGGGTGAGTGGGGGGGGGTGTCACCCGGAGTGACGTGCAATTTTTGGTAAAGAGTGTGGGATTCGCATTTTATTAGAGCATCGTCCTCTTGCAATTGCCGGTGCAAAATCGCTCCATCGCAAAGTGACATCGGCCACACAAATCTGCGAAGCCGGCGAACAACCTAGCCGTGCCGGGTGAAAGATGCTTGGACGATCAACAAGCAAATATTGCTACAGAATTCTCTAATTCGGAATTTGCCATTAAGGGGTTTCAAAAAAAACACTGATAAATAACAAAAAATCTTGAGAACACACCTAGGCCAACAATTCTTATATCTTTCAGGCTGGTGTCAGAGTCCGCGATCCGTCGCAGGTTTCGCTGATTTTCGCGATTTTCGCGATTTGCGCGAAACCTGCGATGGATCACAGGAGTTGGAAGTGCCCGATGAATACTGCGAGGTGTTGTTTAATCCTGCTGCGAATTCTGCTTGGCAGTAAAGATTGGAAGACGAATGTTTGTGGTTCTACTTGTTTCATGTTCAATGTCTATTAGTTCATTGAAATGCTCTTGAATCGTTCCTATTCTATCCTATAATTCTAATTTCTATAATATCAACAAGTGAAATCTTTAGAGGCGCAGTCGCTAATTCAGCCATCACTATCAGCAGAAGTTGGGGCGGCATAGCAACCTTGACAGTAGGGCCCCAGACAATACCGAACCATTTAGGCCGCGGCGGCGTTCGCGCGCGCGCCTAAGGTTGGGGTATTGTCTGGGGGCGCCCTTGCAGTATTGTTGTTTTATTCGTGGGGCACTTGTGAGTTCCCGTTTAACTGCTCCGCAAATCGCGAAACATCGCTCGACTTTGGAACGATCCGTCGCTCCTGCAATTGGTGCGAAATCGCTCCAATCGCAAAGTCTGACATCGGCCATTGTTGGAGCACTTGTGGTTACGCTGAAATCAGCGAAGCTTGCGAAGGATCGCGGACTCTGACATCAGCCTTACAAAATCTCTCAAGCTTTGTTGTTAAGAGAAGGCTGCAGCTAGTGCAATAAAAGTTAATGTTTTTAGAAAAACCTACCATACACGTGTTATTTGATCGCCAAACGTCCTGGCGACGCAATTTGTTCGGCTCATTTGTAGCGGTTGAAGTCATTATTGATAAAGGAAAAGCATCCGAAGTCTCGTTTGACACCCGTCTGGAAAGGAAGCTTCGATATCAAACCACAGCTACATCATTCAAGATCACAAAATACTTTTCGCTCCACATAAGAGGAAAAAGACGCGATACTGTCCTAGCGAAAGACACACTATGAGGATTTCCTGTTAAGTTTCCCTTGCTCTCGAATTTCGCAACCAACGAGCCTTGAGATTGCGAAACTGTCAGGGGCAAATGAAAACAACTTGAGACATAGGAAATACGCCAGAAGTTACTCTGCTACTTCTTCGTGCAAAAATGATTTCCAACAGGTCGACATTTCGCCAAGAAACGTTAAGCTGAGT